GTCCAGAGGTTGAATGTCGTCCACCAAGATCTTCATGACCTCTTTTTCTAGGTCATCTGTCAACCTTGGTGAGCCAACTTTTTTTGGGGTGGGGGTACCCATTCCAGCGAAGCGGCAGACGAGCATCTTCATACCGGAGGGAGAAAAACCGGTTCTTCCAATCATGGATTAAGGTTGGCGTGCCACTAAAAAGCTTCCGCTGGGGACGCACGGTGATGCTCAAGAACCTATCAGAATTCTGAGGGGTGAGCCGGTAAAAGTAATGGAACAACTCCATGGTCCGGGTCACTCCTTTGTCCGTGCATCGGATGAGGAACGCTGAGATGAACTAATAATAATTGGGCGTGAACTGCGCATGGGCCACTTGGAAGCAACAGAAGAACTCCACATAAAATGGATGAAGGGGAACCGCAGCCCGACCTTGATGGAGTCTAGGTGCACCATGACCATCCTCGGACGTCTCATCATCATGTGATCCGCCCCTCGGAGGCTGTAGACGTGCGGCGGGGGGAAGTAGATCTTGAGCTCGTTGAGAGCTTGGTCTGAAAAGGATTGCTCATGAACAGACACATTTTTTACGGGTACAATATGGCACGCCATGTCTACAGGGATGCCCAAATCATAAACCTCCACGTCAGATCCATTCGCGGCCTCGTCTCCTGAGTCATGATTTTCGGGATGTTCATCCCCGGGGACCGGAGGGACTGCATCCGCCACCACATTCCCCTGACCCTGGGCCACACCCCCTTGTAGGACGTCCCCCCCCATCATCCTCAAGATTAACATCAATGGCATGGGTCACGCTGGTGGAGGTGGCGCTTACCGCAACGTCCCCTTGGGAGATGACTCCACTGTTGGTACCATCAGCCACCATAGTGCCCACGGTGGAGGCAGAGCCGAAGCTACCGGATGTGCTAGTTTTCCCAGAGGAGCGGAAGCCAGAACCAGAGCCGGAGGAGGAACCAAAGTCAGAGGAGCTTGAGCCGGAACTCAAAGAAATCTCCATCGAAGTCGCCACCACAAATTAAAAAAGGGTTTGGAAATAAGGAAGAAGGATCAGTTTACCTTACGAAGTGCAGATGTAACACCCCGACCCCGCAGGACCCGAGATAGTTACTCCAGACGTCTTCCAGACCTCTAGTACTATCCTCACAAACCACCACGAACCTTTACTGCGCACTTTGTCCTCACTCATGCGCGCCCTAAGAAACTTCTCAGGGGGTCACCCATCCCAAGACTGCTCCCGTGCAAGCACGCTTAACTTTGGAGTTCTTGGGTGATGAGCTCCCTTAAAAGGAGATGCACCCCTGTTGGTATGAGTAGTACTATTAATCCATTTATATTAAATCTCAAGTGTTACAGCAGAAGACGAGCCGAAAGCCTTAGTGACAGAAGACTTGAAGGACGGCGGGATTCGAGAGCGAGGAAGCAGGAAATCGGAAACCCTTAGCCATTTGGGAATCCAATATTTATAAGGGGAAGCACCATCTCGAAGAACCAATAGGGAAGCGACGCGTGGCGTGGAGCACATCCCAGGGTACGTGTCACGCGGAGAGGAACATGCGCAATGATGACTTTTCCTCGGAAGTTGCACCGTTTCTGCGGCACCCGCCATCTAGGTTTTCAGGAACCGCCACCAACAGATGAACACCGGGATCAGGAACGTCTCCCTCCAAGGCAGTTATACTTCCTTATGTCCCACACATGCTTGGAACATCAGAAGTGGGAGACTTGTGTTGGGTTAATGGCCCCATTAGAGGGTCAGCCCATTTACCCCTCCTCGGACGAACGTCTAGGCCCAACAACACCTAAGTCCCTCGATGAACGTCTCCACCAGAGAAGGTTGATCCTGCTCCAGGGCCCAAGGCACACGGGACGAACGTCGCCATACCTAGCCCGCCACGCCCGGAGGGATTTAATTAACATATTCTACATAAGCGCCAAAGGATGTACGGCCCACAACCCTTTACAGTATTTATCGGGAGCAAGCCCCAAGCCTAGGGAGACGCCCATCTCCAAAGATTGGGCGGGAAACCCAGATTCTGGCGGTAAGCGCATTTAATGCTGGGGATTTGGTGGTTGAAGCATCAGCCATTCACATCTCTCCACGTCAGCATGGCCAACTACCCATTGGTGGTATAAATAGTAGCATTTATTTCATTGTAAAGGGTTGGCAACTTATTAGACTTAATACTTTAGCTTACTTTCAGCTCTTAGCTTATTACTCGCAGCTCTTCTACTGAGGTGTAAGACGAACGGCCAGCGGCCCTTAGCAAGCGTATTGTATCGGGGGTTTATTAGACATTAATAATATCCGATCTTTTACTTGCTCATCACGTTCTTAGTCCATCTACTTGTTTGTTGGATCTGTTTATTTACTCACATACTCAAAATCCACTCGAAATCCTTGGGCTTACGTGTTGCACCCAAGAGTTGAAGGAATAAAGCTCAACAACTATGTATTTATTTGTGGGTTTGGATGAGAAAATGATGAATTTAGAAAAGATTAAGAAAAAATGCCAATTATATTACTAGTAGAACTGTAGAAGAGTCATGGACATAAATAGTACTAAATATTATTTATTATTTAAAAGCTAACAACCATTTCTTTGTTCCTATTTTACCCTCACGTCTAGCTATATACCGACAAGTATATATTAGACTCCGGTTTCACCCAAACTCGTGCCGACTACCTACCCGACTACCCTAGCGCGCTAAGCTATCGTTGATTCCTACCCCTTCTACCATCTTCTTCGCGAACCCGAGTATGGAATTTTCTCTGTAAAACCTTCTTAAAACATGTAAGTTATTGTCTTCAGTGCACATAGTAACTACATCATACAATACTATACCTAATCCACCTTAATTAATTACTTGTACATCAATTATAATCGAGTCAGTCACTAAACCATATAAGTTACTACTATAAAGTTACTATATAGTCCGTATTACATTTTCTGCTCACAGAAAATCTCCAATGAAAAATAATACAAATGAAACCAAACTACTGTGACATTATTTCTATTCCACTGAATAAATTAAAAACATTGTATCACGATTCAAGAAGTAATTTATCTCCATCACACCAATATGAGAAATCAAACCCACCTTCAAATAACTCTGGTAAATTAGGTTTGGATCTGAAAGTGTAAAATGTCTCACACCAGAAAAGTTTGGATAAGCAAAGTGCTATATTAAGATCTGAGCTACTCCTCCTAACAGGTTGACCTTATAGGATGGAACCCCAGATCTTAACATGGTATCAGAGACAAATCAATCCATGGTGTGGGCCCCCTTATGAAAAAAAATGACAACATGATTATAAAAAAACATGACAATGATGAACCGATGAAAAAAAATGAATGATTGCACGCTTCAGACGAAGTGTCTGGTCGTGGGGAGGGGTGTTAAATGTCCCACACCGGAAAAGTTTGGATAAACAAAGTGCTATATTAAGATCTGAGCTACTCGTTCTAACAGGTTCACCTTTTAGGATGAAACCCTAGATCTTAACAGAAAGCTTGGTAACCGTTACGTCGGGGCAATCAAGACATCGTATTTTATTCTCTTTCCCCGTGGTTACGTAGTAATATAATATAGCAAACCCCTGAAGAACTTTTTAAAGAAATAATTGGCATGTGGCACCATCTTTTGTATATCAAATGACATGTGGCAACATAATAAAACAAAAGCTATTCAACTTCCAAACTCTTACTCATATGTATTCCAATAAAAATTTTACGGGAAAAGTTATATTACTGTATATAAGTTAGTAGTGCTATATATACATGTGTGTGTATTTATATATGTGTCACAATGTTGTGGGTAAATATAAGTGAAAATTTGCACTTGACAGTAGTACAAAAATTGCAAATACACAAAAATGAAAAACAAGTAACAAATTTTAGCCTCTTAAAATAAAAAAAGATCCCTCTCGTATTTCTTTTCCAACAAAATGTTGCAGGTTTTAAAGGCCGTCACGATGGTCATTAATCTTAATATCATCAATAATCTTTAAATTTCTTGTGCTAGAGAAATAACGTTTGTGCTATCTTTAGTTTAGTCTAGTTTATAAATGCATTTACACATTCATTACCCATAATAATGTAGCTATATTAATCTATTATGTCTTTTATGTATGTTGTAATTTGTTGCATGATTATATGTTTTTACTGGTTATTAGTGGTAATTAACTTTTATTTTTATGTAACTTAATTTTTTTGTAACTTAAATTTTTTATATTGATAAAACAAATAAATATTCATCTCAGCTATATCACATAGGACATATGTATTCATAAACTTTTTTGAAACTAGTCACAAACAATGTAAATTAAAAATAGATACACACTTTTATCTCTCCCGCATACTAATATAATTCAAGACATATTTGTTCATTATTATTTTCTTTATTTGTTCAAGTATGCTTGCATTTTTATGTAATATGTTTGATCCTTCCAACTTTTATATCAATTTTAAATCAAATGATAATTTTTTATCAAAAAACCGAAACCGAACCGAAACAAACCGAACCAATCAAACCGTGGTTCCAAGTTTTGGAGTGTACAACCGAACCGAAACCGAACCGAACTTTTACTTTGGTTCCGTATTTGGTTTTAGGTCAAAACCGAACCGAAAGAACCGAAACCACCCCTAGGTATGGGGAATTGATCAAAGTGTTAGATGTTCCAACAAGGGGTGAGCATAACGGTTTGGTTCACCTGAACCGAACCGTACCGAAGTAAACCGAACCGTATTAAACCGAATCGAACTAAAGAAATTCAAAAAAACTTTCATGTATTATTAAAATTTAACAAATTCAAACCGAACCAAACAAAAATATAGTATGAGTTTTGTTTGGTAATAATTGATTCCAAGCAGAACCGGATCAAAATCGAGAAAAAACCGATATGGTCAGGCCCAGTTCCAGCTCTATAATTTTATATGTTTAATAAAATGTTTAATATTATTACCGGTGCAGGTATTTAGCATCCTCTGAGCCTCCTTAGTTGAGTGAGACATTCTAGGTGACGGAGCACTGTGAAGCGAGGCAGATGAAAGAGGAGCTGAACAGCCCTGGTTCCGATGGACAAACGCAAAAGGGAATCCGGCGGCGGCTTATCCTAGCGGCGTCGGGCTTGGTGAAGGAGCTGAGGCTGAGCTGTTGGTGAAGGAAGCCAAGGCAGAGAAATGGAGAAAGTAAGCATTCCATTCACTAATCAAAATCAGTTCCCACACCGACCAAGCCAGAGAAGGAAGAAGAGAAACGTAAGCATTCCATTCACTAATTAAAAAATCAGTTCCCACACCGACGCCGGAAGGCTGAGCGACTCCTGACTGGGTCTATAAATAAACAGGTACAGTTGCAGATATACTCGCCCTCTGGGACTGACCAAGTCCCGCTGGGTTGGGCTGGCCACCCTTTGGGGCCGGCCCCGGCTCCCTCTTTGGGCGCCATTAGGCTTAGGTTAGGTAGGTAGTTAGGGCTAGGCTTAGGTTAGGTTAGGCTTAGGCTTAGTTTAGGCTAGCTTAGGTTTAGCTTTAGGTTAGGCTTAGGGCGGTGGGGGCGTTATGCTGCCTCCATGCCGTCCTGGGCCGCCCGGGGTGGCGTTATGCTGCCTCCGTGGCGCCGCGTGGCGCCAACCCCCCCGTGGGGGGGGGGTAGGGGGGGGGGCAGGAGCATTATAGGGGGGAGTCGAGGGGGGGAAGAAAGGGGGGAATCGGGGAAGAAAGAAGAAATGGGAAAAGGGAAAGAAAAGTTAATTAATTAATAACTTCAGCAACTTCAGTTATTTTAATTTAATTTAATTTAATTTAATTCTTCTGCCTCTGGTTAAGGATTCTGGGAGATGACAACTCTTAATGCCAGCTGGTACCAGGGGCCCAACTTCAGCAATTCTGAAGTATGTTAATTTCTTCATCTACTATTTTGAAGTATGCTGGTCTGTATATTATGGAGTATGTGGAGATATATAATAACCTCTCCACAAGTATTATGTTCTTTATGAACGTAAAAGCTAGCAAGTTATTATATATTTTGAATTCATTCATTCAGCGAAAAAGGAATACTGTAGAAAACCTAGTTCATTTCCATACGCGGAGTTATGATATCTTCTCGCTTCCCTTTCCAAACAGGAAAAGGAAAAAAGAGTGAGATGAACAAGATATTTTATGATCATCTAATCTGTGTGGCTGACCTGTAAGCATGCTGGAACAAATACTATGATCAGCAATTCCAGATACGTTCTAGGACCATGTGCTTGTTTTGGATCAGCACCTACTAGAAAACCTGCCCGACCAGCGCTTTTTTCCATACGTTCTATTTACCAACTCTTCGATGGTCCATTCTTATCCACTTTATGCAGGTTTACACCCATCTTAATCTCTCATTGGACTACCGAATCAGCTGAGTGATGGCTTCTCCTGTACACTTTTGAAGTGCATCCCACATGACCAGAACAGTCATTTGGTCCAGCTGCTTCGTCCTTTTATTGCAGAATGCAACTCCAAGTTAGCAGCGGCCCTTACCATTACAGAGGAAAGTTTTCCCACTGGGGGGGGGATAGGAGCAGTATAGGGTGGAGTCGAGGGGGGAAAGAAAGGGAGTCCAGGGGGGACAGAAGGGGGGAATTGGGGAAGAAAGACGAAAGGGGAAACGGGAAAGAGAAGAAATAGGAAGCAGGGAGGGAAAGAAGAAAGCAGAAAGAAAGGGAAACGGGAAATAGGATCTTAATTCCATTGTTCAATTAACAAAAAACACTTGTTTTGTCTCTTTTAAGTATGTAAAGAGATGCCAGCTTTTGCATATATTAAATACAATTAATGCTACTTCTACTTAGTTTAGTAAGATTACAATGCGCAACAGTGTATACAATGCGAACATTTTGTGGTGAGTTATTGTTTTTCTTGACTTCTATTTCGTTACTTGATTGTCTTGATAACTATGATAGACCATGAAACATGCTTGAAGCAGAAAGGCATGGAATGTGGAGTGGCTTCTGATCACTTGTCATGTAGTGACCAATGTGAAAAGGTAAACATGGTTGTCCCTTTATATTTTTTCTCACTCTATCTTCACTATAAGAAAAATAAAGAGATAATTAATTTTCTTCACCAGTTTTCACCTGCTTTTGCATTTGTAATTATTAATTTTGACTCTGTTTTGTTTAGAAGTATATCTAAACAAATGATGTTCTTAATTTTCAGTTCTTGTTTTGAAGTACTGTTGTTGTGAATTACTGATTGTACCATCGTTCCCTCTTTATTATGATCCAAACTACTGTCTTTAACTTTACTTCTTTGCAGATCACAGCCCGGGCGTCTGAACTACCGCGGATTTTACACTGTTGTTTTGGAAGACGACGACAGTATGGTGTCAGTGGCAACAATTAGGTGACTTATAGTCCATGCTTCTTTTTAATAAAGAATAATGAGAAATGCATGACTAAAAATTGTCGCTGGGATTGTAGTGTTAGTTTCGCAATGACTGTACTGATCATGCCAACGTTCAATTTTACTATGCAGTGGCTATGACGGTATTCTTGATTTCAATGATTTGGCTATAGTTATTTGAAATTATATTTTGTCCATGCCTTTTATTGTAATAAAATTACAACTGTATAAAAAAAACCTCTTACGTAGAGTATTTTGTTACTGTCTTCAAAAAGGGATGAAATGCATAGGATGTGTCTTTAGAAAACTACTGGTTTCCTACTAACAAAACTCCTAACACAATATGGACAATAATTAATGGTAAAGAAGAATTTAGTATATTTATGAGAATTCCAACAGTAGCCACCACAAAGTTTAAAACATTCACATCCCATACTAGTGGCTAGAATGTACTAGAGTTATGTTTCCCAATTTAAATGAATGAATGAATGAGATCCAACCTACCCTTCACAATGTTCTGTCTGCTCCTTTAAGATGTATAAAAAAGAAATGTTCTTTCCTTGTTTCTCCTTGAAGTGACAGAATTTGATTTTTTTTAAACCCATCTCATGAAACAGGATCCATGGGACTAAGGTAGTGGAGTTACCTTCAATTGCAACTTGCAGCAAATCCTGCCGCATGGGAATGTGCCGCCGGCTTATGAATTGCATAGAGAAGGTATATAGAAAAGGAACGGGAAGGGGGAATCGAGGGGAATCGGGAAAGAAAGAAGAAAGGGGAAACGGGAAAGAAAGAAAGAAAGGGAAAGAGTATAAAGAAGGAACGGGAAGGGGGGAATCGAGGGGAATCGGGAACAAAAGAAGAAAGGGGAAACGGGAAAGAAAGAAAGAAAGAAAGAAAGAAAGGGAGAGAGTATAAAGAAGGAATGGGAGGAAATAGGAAGCAGGGAGGGGAAGAAAATTAAGTTATTTAGTTAATTAAGTTATTTAATTATGTTGAACATAGAAAATTAAGTTATTTAATTAATCAAGTTATCTGTCAGGCACCCTTTCTAAATTACAAACTACTCTGTCAATCATTTAAAGCTGGTTACTCGTACGATTCTGAAGTATGTTAATTTCGCATCATCTACTATTGAGTTTCTTCTCTCTGGCTGTTTTTATTGGTCCATCAGTTTCACTTCCCCCCTTTACCTGTATGGTGTGTATACTATGAAGTATGTAGAGATATAATAGCCTCATAGGTATTATTTTGAACTGCTGAGTGGAAAACCATTGCTAGGGTTGCATTCTGTAGGTGGCTAAGATGACTAGGTGGTTCTATGGGGGTATACTATGTGTTACAAATGAGTGGGAATGGTGCTTACACTGAAGTGCCACAATTAAAGAAGCCGTTTCCCTATTTCTATTAGGAGCAGCGGAGGTGAAGAAAGGGGGAAAGGGAAACGGGGAAAGAGAAGAAGAAGAAGAAGAAGGAGGAGGAGGAGGAGGAGGAGGAGGAGGAGGAGGGGAGGAGGAGGAGGAGGGGGGGGGAGGGGGAGGTATTACTCCTGTTCGCTATTTATCTCCACATATGACTTTTCATGGTCATCGTGAAAACGAAAATGTGCCGAGATTTATCCTGCTAGGAATTTTCTCACAACACCAGTATCTTCAGTTAAATACAGTTGAGCTTGACGACCGATTAGAGGCCACCTAGATTCCCATCCAATCTTAGCCTTTGAGAAACTGCCTGGGAAGTTTCATTTCCAATTCAGAAAGCTTGACTTTGCCACAGTCATGTATGAGTTGTGAGCGGTTATTTCTACTGGATAAGGAGTGCTGGCAGCCTCATGATGGGTCTCTTGCTCGGGTTTCAAATTAGACAAACTAATGTTCTCATAAAATAGAGACTGTTCAGGGTTTGTCAGTACGAAAAAAGAATTGAGATATCTGCTTTCCTTGTCACAAACACTTGGTATTGCAATAATATCTCCCAGGGACTTGCGCAAGGTGAGAAGCACTTTGAGACCAAGCCTGCAAACTCAGAGAAGAATTCTGCGAGTTCGAAGAGACATGCACAAGGTGAGAAGCAGTTTGAGAAGAATTCTGCGAATGAGGATCTTCTGCTGGCGACAAAATCAGCGCATTCGAGGTCACCTGCGAACTAAGAGTTTTGTTTGAGACGAAGCTGAAGTGGCTTGGGATGACATCTGATTTTCAGTTGGCCGACGGCGTCTAGGAGGGCTCCTCGCTTGGCCTGTAGGTCTCCGGTGACGCGAACGTTCGCACATCTTGTCCAACCAGATTCGCATCTCCTTCGCCCAATCACTTTTCGGCCAGCTTCTCCACTTTTCTGCCGTCAACCTTTTGCGCTAGCTTCTCCCCTTTTCCGCGCGAAGCATCATGGTCGGATCTTCCATGCTCCCTGCGCAGTTCCTCTCCGCCTTGCGTAGACACACGCTTCTCAGTGTTTGCGCGCAAACCAGAGGCAGCTGATCTCAATGTTCCCTATGCTGCTCCATTTATTTATCGTGTGACTTAGATTGAAGCTTCCGAGGGACAATGGCTCTGATACCAATGTTAGGGACCTCAACATTAGGGACCTCAACAACGCAGCAGAATTTTAGTATTATATTGATTAAAAAACTAAGAAGACAGTAGCGATTGCAATGGTAGAAACGAGAGATCAACGTAAACTGAAAATAACACGGTTGAGACTTGAGACTCTTCAAGAGGCCTCACTCTCCCAGCCTAATTCCAACTGAAATTCTGCCTACCTTCTTCCTCCCTCCTTCCCCCTTTTATATCATTTCTCTTCTTAAGGGCTGGCCCATATTTCATGAATTACATGGCCCAAAACATTAATTTATACAATAACACTCTATTAATAATACTCTATTATTCTTATTGTTATTGGCTGTCCATGTCCCTATCAAATAATGATCAAACTCCACTTACTAATAAAAACTTTGGAATATTAATTATTACCATAGTCACTATAACTACTTTGTTATTGCTACTACTGCAGTCGGAGGACTTGGTGCTATCCGGAGTTGTTGATGTTAATGAGTGTTATTACTCTTGACGATGTACACTTGTACTTCGTCAAGTGGTACTGTTTTGACCTTGTAAATAAATATGACATAAAGAATATAAAACCAACATGATACCCTATTTTTACTTGATTTGGGAACATATACTATTATCATGAAATTCATACTTAACTCCGCGGTCATCCACCTCATAACTCGCAATAATTGTTATTTGCTCTTTGACTGAATTACTACTTTATCTAATAGTCTCCTCTTATCTTTTTTGCCATAAGTACTAATACTAAATTTGGGATTGGAAGCAGGGGCATTTGCTCCCCCAGCACCCAGGTCCTCTATGCCCTAGCAGGAGTTGTGAGCGGACGAGGAAGACGGGAGAAAGACACTCTCTAAAATCCCCTACTGGCTTCAAAGAACAAAACACTATCCGGTTTTAATAAGTAATTCAATATCCTAATTTTGAAATAACTTTCTGTCCCATATATGAGACTTCTCGTCGTTGTTAAAAGCATATAAATGGGTTCTAAATTTTGAAGCCATTTGAAAAATCAATGCGTTTTTATACATTTTTTAATAAAATAACTTTATGTGGCTCAATATTAATTCTTATCAATGGGAGTATATATGCTTGATAAGGTCTGCTTCTTTAAGTATTAGTTCTTAAGTATTGATGAATTTTTTGCTTACAACAAATGTACTTGAGTGCAGTAAAAGTTTAACTAATTGTACTTCATCTAATCAACCTAGATAGTTTGAACTTAATATTAATTAGAACCGGGGCGCAGTGAATTACTGCTCAACTGTAATACAACATTTCTCTTCCGAAGTGAGGTTGAAGTCGCTTAATATAACATCACTCTTGTTTTGGTTTTGGTTTTCATAAATTGATGTGTTTTAAGTGAGGTTGAAGTCGCTTAATATAACATCACTCTTTGGTTTTGGTTTTCAAATAGGTATGACCCTATTTGAAGTAACTTGAACTTGATGGGAACCATTCTAAAAATGAATAGGCCCGATTGTTTATTCAATTAGTATTGGTCCAGTTTAGTTATGATATCGTGCCCACTCCTACTCCACTCCTACTACGAGCCTGCTTTGAAGTATAAATTTGTGTCAAGATAATGCAAGCCAGAAATTTAATTTTTTCACTTCTCTTCATTTCGGCTCATATAATTTTCATTTCTTTCTTTAATTTACAGGATATGCATTGTCATTGTCATGAGTGATTCTCAACATTGCCTAAAGGTCTTCATCATCAATAACTCTTCTTCTTTTCTCTCATCAGAATCCATCCGAGTTGAAAAGCACAAAAGCAACTTCTCTTCATTCTGGATTTAAAATTCAGGGTTTCATTCCTGATATAGTTTTCTTTGAATTTATTAATCTTGAATTTAGCAGATCCAAAGTTTCAAACAGTCTTAGTCAATAACTTTTTAAACTGCTTTATGTTAACTTTCTTGCTGAGTAATTCCTCAGGGACTAAGAAGAAGAGTTCATGTTCTTTGCTCTTATGCATTTCTTCTTGCTGTTGTCTCAATGAAAAAATAGAGAAGTGGTTGTTTGCTGCATATAGGAAAGTGACTTAATGTTCCTCTTCTTGCATTTCATATTGTTACTGAATGTGATCCTTTGCTCCATATAGAAAGTTACCTGCTCAATTTGATAAATCGTAAACCAACTCCTTCATTTGATCTTGGAGAATAAAAACTCATCATCTAAGTACAATGTTTACCAGAATGTGATAAGTGTGCAAATAATAATGATGTGAAAAAGTTTAGCTGTTTTTGTCAAGCATCTTGCCACTTCAACCCTACGATCGTCCAAATTAGATCTACGGCTTTTTTTGCTTCCCATATCTGGAATCACTTTTCCACTAGAAGATCCATCTCATCTCTCTCTTTCCTCACACAAACCAAATAGCTCCTCAGGTCTCTCAGCCCTCACCCTCACATAAACAAGTTATGCTAAAGACCAAACAACAAAGTACAATAATATATATATGTATATATGTATATATATATATATATATATATATATATATATATATATAGCAAACAAGAGTTTAGCAACAGTCTGCTTTCTACTGGAATTTTTTTGAATCAGCTTCTTTTAACTATGAATAACACCAAGAATGACTATTCATTATTTCAATCCACCGATCTGCAACTATGCATTATGTTAGTTTTCTAATTTTTAGGAGTTCAACATAACATTGATAAGACATGCGAGTTTATGTTTTAAATCTCAAAGCCCAAGTAATTTTTTGCCTCTTCATAGTTAAAAGAAGCTGATATATTTATAAATCAAAAGTTTAAAAAGAAGTTGATATATAACAACTGGCAGATCTATTCCTCATGCTTATTCTAATCCCTTGCCATGTATTTGTGCTATGCCCGTTCTCTTTTTTAAGTGAATGTGATTCTATGATTATCTTTCATATATGGACTCAAGTGATGGATTCGAAATAGTAAAAGATCTATTTGAACTTTTTCCCAAAATGTAATTTGGACACATTGAAACTATTAGAGAAATTGTGCTTTAATAGTGTAGACTAACTGATTAAGTCTGCAGTACTAAAAGTCTAATTCCTAAAGAAATCAAATCTTTAATTTTTTTTAGATCAATCATTTCTGTGTGAAAATAAAAAGCCCAGCTTGCGTTGCTGACTTTACAGAGCTTCGAGCGCCACCTGCTGAGGATCCGAATCGGATTCTCGAGATTCATAACATCAGGTTAGAGCTCGATCTAAGTGGGAATTGACTGGATTGGAAGGCATGGCTTCGTAGCGGATCCTGAAGGAGCTAAAGGATCTTCAGAAGGATCCTCCTACTTCTTGCAGTGCTGGCCCTGTTGCTGAGGACATGTTTCATTGGCAAGCAACTATAATGGGTCCTCCAGATAGTCCTTACACTGGTGGAGTTTTCTTGGTTACCAACCATTTCCCATCAGATTACCCCTTCAAGCCACCACAGTTTTCCACCAAAGGTCCTACTTTCGATCTGCTCTCACTTGACGGACCCTAACCCTGATGATCCCTTGGTACCAGAAATTGCACAGATGTACAAGATCGACAGGAACAAATACGAGACTACAGCAAGGAGCTGAACTCAGAAGTATGCCATGGGATAACCTCTGCTTCAAGTAGACCTGGCCCTTGCATCTCATTTTAAGTATTTGATCATCATCGACTCTTTAGTTGTTTATTTTAATGGGCAATGGAGAAGTATGTGTCCTAAGTGCGATTAAACATTTCCTTTGTATTGTGATCTGTGAAAAACCCAGATGAATTGCTTTCTCCCAAAAAAAAAATCAAATCTTTAACGGAGCTCCTCGGCGCACCTCTACAATGGCTGGGCGCACCCCTTTTCTTCCGCCATTGGACACATTTGTCCTTTTCGTTTCTTAGCCATTAATTTTGCAACGGAACTCTTTCATGTATCTAATACTCCGTATCTCTCCTTCACGTATCTAAATACTCTCCTTCACGTATCTAAATACTACGTACTCTGTGTCTTGTACGGAGTATATTTGTAATGATTTTGTTGGTTTGATTTGCGTAATACGAAGTATTTGAATTTTGATATATTATTTATAAAATTTGGATTAAAAATGAAAAAGCTATAACACTTTAAAATTTTGGGGTTTTTTATAGCTTGGGGCCCACCAACTTCATCTTCGCTCCTTTCTTTCAATTTCTTTGGGAGAAGTTCGGTACTTTGAGTAAAATGGCCACGTGTCATTAGTATAGCAAATGAGACAATTAAGGAGAGCTAGACACCTATGATTTATTATTAAGGGTAAAATTGTATTTTGATGAACTATTTCTTTTCTTATATATAAATAGATATATGTTTCACTCACTTTATCATTTAATTCTCATTTTGACTAAAGTACATTGATATTGTTATTTGAAGTTTTTACTAACTAGTGTGTCTACCCTTGCACCGCGCGGCGATAAGATATGTGTTTAAAACTTTTCTTAAATTTAAATTTATAGGTATCATCAATTGTATATGGATTCACCGATCGAAGATTTAAAGATAACTCAATTGACTATACATGCAGATGTCAAAATGAGTCGAACTCCGTCGGGCGTGCTCGTTTCATGGTGGATTGTATTTTAATATAGCCTGATTAACTCAGTGGTTTTGTGGGTCAACATGCACAAGTTGTGGTTTGACTATACAACTTGTGATTTGTTCAAAATACAAGCATCTAGTTTTGACTTTCATTATCTTAATTATTGCATGTTTATTTACTACCAAAATTATTTGCTATTATATAGTTATTGTTTAATAACAACATTCGTCGAACTACTGTTTCTATAATAACCATTCAAATAGCTAGACGTCAGGATAAAATAGGGACAAAGAAATTGTTGTTAGCATTTAAATAATAAATAATGTTTAGTACAATTTATGTCCATGACTCTTCTACTAGTAATATAAGTAGATTTTTTTCTTATTATTTTCTAAATTCATCATTTTCTCATCCAAACCCACAAAAAAATACATAGTATAGTTTTTTTATTTGTAATTTTACTAATGTTCACAGGTAAATTTAAAGATACTTGGATTTTCGTTTCTTTGAAATATTTAGAAATATGATGGGAAATATTGAAATCTCTTCTAGTAAACCACGCTTTTAGCTTATCAGCTAACAACCTAAAAGGGTCCACTTCCGATGATGAAGTCATAACAAAAAAAAGTGATAATAAACCCCCCCATGACACAGTCTAATAGGAATACTCCCTATGAAACTAGGTCCAAAAAGTCCTCTTACAAACCCTCCTTATGATCAAATTTCTCTTTTGGAACATTTTTGGACTGGGTAAAGAGCAATCCTTACACAATCTTAAGCAGCTAAGTAGAACTCACTCTGAATTTTATTGGAATCATTGAACCAAAAATACATAATAAAAAAAATAAACAAAAAAAATGCAACTTCATTTTCCTCATGCTTTTGCTCACTGCCATAACAGATTTTGGATATTTTGGAATGATGATAATAATGTTTCTGTTATCCATGAAGGAGCTCAATCTATGACTATGACCATCACAAACAGTGGAGATTCCGTCCCTTATCTTGTTACTATTGTCCATGGCAGTAACAACAGAATCCAAAGAAGGCAGCTTTGGTCCGAGCTATCCTACCTAAGGTCTATTCACTCCAGGGCTTCATGGATTGTTGCTGGAGATTTCAATACTATCACTCATTTGGATGAATACAAGGGTAATTCTAATCCCTGCACTTATGATATCACTGAGTTTAATGATTTTATCCACGCCAATGCCTTTATTGATTTTCATATGGACGGTGGGTCTTTTACTTGGTTGGGTAGAAGGAGAAATGGATTAGTGATGAAGAAACTTGACAAGGTCTTGGTCTCTTATGACCTTATGCAACTGACAAAAAATTTTAAACTTCAGATCATTCCTAAAACTACTTCTGATCACAACCCCTTTTTGTTTATGGAAGCCAAGACTACCAATGCCCCTAAGTCCTTTAAATTTCAACATATGTGGCTTACTCACAAATCTTTCCTTAAAGAGGTTTCTGAATCCTGGAATTCTGAGTGTGATGGATTTGGTATGTTTAAATTTCATCTCAAGCTGAAAAGACTTAAGCAACACCTTAGAACCTGGAATAAGGAAACTTTGGAAATATTTTTGACAATATTAATGAAGTTGAACAAAGAATTTCTAATCTTGAAGATAATCTGAGTAAAAACCTTTCTGATACTGACCTTATCCTTCTCAAAGAGGCTCAGGCCAACCACATTAGACTCCTAAATCTCAAGGAAATTTTCTTAAGGCAAAAGGCTAAAATCAACTGGCTTAAGATGGGAGATGCAAACACTTCCTTTTTTCAGCTCACTCTCAAGGACAAACATAAAAAACTTTCCATCAATAAAATTGTTACGGAAGATGGAAACAATATTGAGGATGAGAACCTTATTGGTATTGAGGCTGTCAATTATTTCCAGTCCCTCCTTACTGCTACCTCGGAGTATAATCAATCTGGTTGTTATGCTTATATTAATGAGGTGATTACTGAGTTGGTTTCTGAGCGGGATAATGATTTGCTTATCTCCCCGGTTACCTCAACTGAAGCTAAGAATGTTGTTTTCTCACTTAATGAAAATAGTTGTGCTGGATCAGATGGGTTTGATGAAAAAATTTACAAAAATTGCTACCACATTATCGAGCATGACCTGATGAATGTTATTCATGAGTACATGTGTGGGGTTCCCATACCCAAAGCTATTGGCCATACCCTAATCCATAGTTGTTATGGCGTCGATATATCGTCGCCACATCGTCGACATATCGTCGTGGCGCGAAGTGAAGATCGCCATGGGAGCTCGACTCGCCATAAAACCTTTGGCGTCGAAGATTCGTCGCTGTGTCGTCGGCAGACGCCAAAAACGCCTAATCGACGACCCAAGGCGTAAAATTATTTCATTTGGAACAGGCCCAAACCCAACTGAATTTCAAAGAGGCCCAAAATAAAATTAACAAACAAACCTATCTGCATCGACGACATACGCATGCTTCATTCTTCAGTCCGTCGTATGCAGTCGTCCGCACACTCCACTAGTTCTAATCAGAAATTTCCGTCGCTCTCTATAGTTCTAATCTGTCGTCACTCACTCATGTCTGCAGTCGTCTGCACGTTCCACTAGTTTAGCCCCTTTTTTATGTTGTTTTGTTCACGTATTTGTTGTATTTTTTGAGTCGGTTACTGTTTAGTGTTTAGTTTTGTTTTTATAATTTCCACCCCTTTACTCCAATATTAATTGTTTAGTTGTGTACAGTTGTTGTGTTGAACTCCGTTTAGTGTTTAGCTTTTTTGTTGTATTTACTTTGTACAGTTTGATTCAAAATTTAAAAAAAAAACTCAGTTCTCTTTTTATTTTATATTTCATGATGTTTTTGGTGTCTTGAATTTATGCTGAAATTCATATTGTGTGATTGTGTTGTCTTACATTTAATGTTTTTTTAATAGTTAGTGACATTTCAGTTAAGTTATTTTAATATTTTATTACTTGATTTAGTTCATTAGTAGTGTTGGCTATAAGTGTTACATGTAGGCTTTTTAGTATGTAAAACTTATTATGAATTTATTAGTCTATATGTCGACTTATCGCCGCGACTCCGCCACGACGGGCGCCATATCGCCATGGCGGTATGGCAGTCCAAAGGCGCCACGCCGCAAAATCCCGCCGTAACAACTATGCCCTAATCTGCCTCATCCCTAAGGAACAAAATGCCTCTCATTTTTCCAAATTTAGACCTATTAGTCTAAGCAACTTTCTTTGCAAAATTTTAACGGAAATTTTGACTACCAGATTGAATGCTATCCTCCCTAAGCTTATCTCTGCTAATCAAACAGCTTTTCAAAAAGGTAAAGAGATAAGTGATAGTATTTTGATGTTGAAAGAAATGATAAATTGCATTGACCACAAAACCCGAGGGCACAATGTTCTTTTTAAGTTTGATATGCTTAAGGCTTTTGATAGGGTTAATTGGAATTTTGTGTATGCCACCTTGAGAGCATTTGGTTTTCACTCCCAGTTTATCAATCTCATAAAAAATAATTTTGAGAGTACTTGGTTTTCGGTGCTTATTAATGGTCGTCCTAATGGTTTTTTCAAACCTAATCGTGGTGTCAAACAGGGTGATCCCCTCTCCCCTCTTCTTTTCATATTGGTCTCTGAAATTCTTTCTAGACACTGCAAGTCTGCAACAAGTTGATTACTTCAGGTAAAAGTATCTCATATCATACCCACCCAGGTCTTCCTGTTATCTCTCATTTAAGCTACGCTGATGATCTTGTTATCTTCCCCAATGCTGGTAAGAAATCTCTAAAAGCCTGAATGTTTCTATTAAGAATTATGAGATGTTTTCTGGTCAGAACATCAATGTCAATAGAAGTTTTTACATTTGTGGTAAACATACTCCTAAAGAGTCTGTACAAAATGTTTGAAAAGATTTCTGGAATCAAAAGTGCTTCTTTCCCCTTTACGTATCTTGGAGGCAATATCTTTCAGGGCAGAACTAAAATATGCCATTTTGATAATATCCTTTTTAAAATAGATCAAAGACTAGCTGGATGGAAAAACAAGTTTTTAAACCCTGGGGGTCGGATTACTTTGATCAATTCCGTGATTACTGCCCTTCCTCTTTATCACATGGCCAATGCTATTATCCCGAAAACCATTTTGAAGACTATTGAGCAAAAGTGTTCCAAGTTTCTCTGGTACAACGCTGATTTTGAAAAAAGGCAAATCTGGAGAAAATGGAATAAAATGACTTATCCTACCAAGGAAAATGGTTTGGGTTTTAGAGACCTTTTTACTATCCAAAATTGTTTCTACTTAAAATGTTGGTGGAAAATTGCTAATAAAACGGGTCTTTGGGGTTTATGGGTCTCTAAACTAAAGAATCCCTCCAATTCCTATATGTGGAAAGGTCTGCAATCGGTAAAGCATACTTTTGACAGTCTTACTACTTTAGTGGTATGTAACGGCCATAGCTCCTTTTGGAGTTCTAACTGGACTGAATTTGGCAGGTTAACTAATTACTGGCACACTGAAGAGGTCTGGCATCCTCAAATAACCATAAGGAAAGCTTTCTCCCATCCCACTTTCTTTCAGGATATCCAGAAAAATATGCCAGATTACATTATTAACAATGTTACGACTATTGCTCACCATTTCTCTAAGCACAGAGATACCATTGTTTGGACCCCTACTCCCGATGGCTCCTACTCTTTTAAGAGTGCCAATGATGAAACCAGACCAAAAAAACCCACTGACATTCTTACCAGTCATATTTGGAATAGGAATATTCCGACAAAAATCTCCCATCCCTTGCAACCTTTTCAGGAACATTTATTACGTTTTGGTAAGCATGGCCCTTTTAAATGTCCATTTTGTAACAACTTTGATACTCAGCATCACTGTTATATCTCTTGCGAGTTTAGCTCTAATCTTTGGCCTCATTTTGGAAATCTTTTTAATATCACTTATACAAATTTGGACCCGATTTACACTGTTTTACATCGCCGGTTCTCGGCTCATGATGAGTTTCAAAACCTGAAAAGTCAGGTTGCAATTTATATATGTTGGACCATTTGGAAGTGGAGAAATTACTACCTTTATGATGATAAAATCTTACCTATTTCTGAGGCTATTAACTATATTAATAAGGAGCTCCGAGACGCTAGTGTGGCCTTTCCGATTATCACTTCTTGTTCTAGCCCCCCTCTGAATGATATTAAGCTGATTAATCTGAAGGTGAAACCTAGGAAAGGTAGTTTGCAGTCTGCCAGCTGGGCCAAACTCCCCATTGATTTTATTAAAATCAACATTGCTTTTACCAAGTTCAGGGACAACAAGACTACTATTGGTCTTATTATTCGTGATGACCACGGTCATCCTTTACACTATATGTCGGCAGCCTCTCAACTTGATAATGCTACGGCTAATACTTGTGATATTTTGATCAATCTTAAAGGTTACCTTACTGAAGAAAATCACTCTAATGTTATCGATGAATGTGAGAACTCAGAGGTTATTCAGACACTTAAAGGAAGGGAGAGACCGAGATGGAAAGAGATTGCCAACTTGGAAGCTTTTAAAGAAGTGTTTCAGAATAGCAATTTTTGTTTTACTCACATAAAAAAACCATGTAATCGAGCAGCTAGTTTTATTGCAAAATATTTTGATGCTTTTGATTGTAACCCGAACATTTATAGTAAGTTCGTAGGCATTGTCAAGTTTGACGCAATAAGTTATCCGTACATTGTAAATTCGGGTAGGTATTGGCTTTAGTCCCCCTACCTTGTTCTTGTTTTATGTGACTGGTAAGGTGTTCCTCGGCCCTTACCCCACAACTAGTTTGTGGACTAACACCGGGATTCAAAAAAAAAAAAAAACTTATCAGCTAACTTTTTTATCAAACACAAATTTTTTATTTCACGCTTTGGAATGAGTAATAATCAAAATAACTATGACCGGAGTTACTTTTGTGACTGAATTTGCTGAAGTTCCTGTAGATCACCATTTCACATATTTTTCATGTATTTTTTCCTAATTTTATTAATGAAATGTACTTTGAATATAATTTTTTTCGTTCACCCGATCCATCCATTTCAGCATCAATTTCAAAATTTCAACCGATCATGCCAGTTTCACACGTTTTTAGATATTATCTCCACGACTCTTATTGATTAGGCCGAGTGAGAGTAAGTCTATTTGTGATTAGATACAAACTCAAAGCAATGATTACCAAACTCTAATCTTTTTGTAAAAAATACAATTAGGAAAACGTATAAACAGAATTGAGAAAAAAATATAAGTGAGGTCACAGTTCTAATTATAGTCAAACCATACTTTATTTTCAACAATTATATTCTTGGGCTCGTTTTTATCTTCACAAGTAACGTTTTTCGGGTGTCGAAGTTTCATGTAAAAAAATCAATAAATTATTAGGGAGAATAAAAGTCCAATTGTACTCTCAGGAAAATATTATTTAAACTTCCTTTCTATCAACTTTGGGAGTTCAAGCATTTTGGGTGGGGCTTCTTTCATTCTTCTTCCACTGACAATAATACTTGATTTTCATGGACATTTCTTCACATTATTAGCAACTAATCACTTAACTCTTAACTCTAGATTTAAAGCATGCGGACATAGGCTGTTTAATTTTTTTAAGCTTATGTTGGGGTTATGAATCGAACCCCATGACCTCAGGTAGCGTAACACCCCATCTGAGCGGTTTGTCACGTGGCAGAAATCGAAACCGTTTTATTAAAAGACTTTCATTGCGTTAGACCATATTTAAAATTTTGGAAGTATAACAGATTCACAAAGCATGATTTTATTATCAAATAATTGAATTTTCTGACCCACATGAATTTATTAAACAGACATAATGCCAATATCACAAAATTCATTTAGGTGCAACGGAAGGTTCTTACAGAATATCAAAATGACAATTTAAAGTTTATTTCCAAAATACACATTCCATACTTCAAAGAACCCCAAAACACACCATATGCATATGAGCCCCATGTCTCCCTCCATCCCAGTGCTTCAAGCAAATAAACCTGAACTTCTGTTCGAGCCTGTCGAACCGCACGAGCACCCGAAATTTCTTCATCCATTCTGACTATATCAACTTCGGCGGGCTCACAGATCGAAGCCAGCCCCTTCCCCGTTTTTTGTCCCATCAAGAGCCATACTATCTTCCCCAATCTTGTCTTCTCCCTAGGCCTCCCAAATCCTTCTTCTCTTTTGCTCCCCCGATGTTTCCTCCTTCGTTTCCGCACCACACCTTTATTTATACTTTGCACTTATTCTGATATAGACTCCCCCCCCCCCCCTTCGCCCTTCCTGTCGTCAGACTTATTATCCACCTCCTGTAGGACTTGTCTTCACCCTGTGCCCTGCTCTAAGTTGGACCCCAAAGTTTTTTTCCCTAGCACTAGATCTTCTTCATAGTTCAACGGACAAAACTTATCTGAATGCCCAATTAAGCCACATATAAAACAGAAATTACGCAACTTCTCATGCTTGAAATCCACTCAAAAACTCTTTCCTTCTTTTTTCAGGTTCGTACCCCTTTTCAAGGATTTGTCAACATTCATGCACACTCTGATTCTCATATAAGACTCCCACTTCTCACTATTCTGATTATCATCATATTTTATAAACTTTATGATAAAATTTCCGACCCGCCTTGCAGTACCTAAGTTAACTAGGCTATATGGAACATTATGAAGTTGAACCCAAAAATCAGCCTCATTTAAAACAATCTTATGCGAAATATCATCAGGTTTGACTTCTTTCAACAATAACAGATTACGCTCAAACTGCCATGGACCTCCTTCAAGCACACGATTCATATCAACATGATGGTATGATGTAAATAGGTACCTTTTTCACCAACTTCTTTGATTGAAATTCCTTTCCCCGGTCTTCATAGTGAGGACATGAGTTCTTTGAGCGCTGGGAATCTGATATTCCTGTCTATCAACAACACTCCCACCACCGGAAAACCCGGCCTGCTCTTGTCCTCCGGAATCTCCTCTGTTTCAAAATCATCCAGGTCTAGTTCTTCTTCCTCTATTCCACCGCCATCTTCTTGTACTTATCCACGAAGCCTTCCATGCTAAAATTGTTGGCTTAACCTTCTGCAAATCCTTCATGCAGTTCACGACCCCTCTGATCTGGCCGCCTCAAATCAATCACCTTTGCCCCCTACCCTTCAAAACAGCCTCTCTACACGACCGAAACCCTACCAAGGCCAAAACCCAAATCCGAAAGCAAGAATCCAAAAAACGGCCGGAGACACCCCACCCCCACCCCCACCCCTTTCTTGACTATGTTGACGGCGGACAAAGCGCTAGGCGTTACCCGAAGGGAACCCTAGAGAGAGAATATATGTGCCAAATTAAACATAGCTTTCATGAAGAATTAAACATTTATAATTATATGAGTATAAAAAGTACCCTTAAATGTAATTTATATCAAATTGAAGAGCCCAATATTGAATTAAATTGACAAATCTAATATCGAAATTATTAAAAGTACGTAATACATGTTTACATTTAAAAGTTGAGTTAGTTGTAGTAAATGGAAAATGGTAATCTGTAAAAAGTTATAAAATTTTATAATTATTATTTGTTTGATGTCGCCAAATATCTTATTTTGCTTCAAACCTTTTATTAGGAGGTCCAACTTCATTTTAAATATCCTACAAAGGATGTCTGATATGTCGACTGGATTCAAACCTCTGTCACTGACGAAGCGCACAATCTCTGTCCATTTAGGATTACATGTGAATGTTATGAACAACTGTGAATATCTTGCCCATCTACAAATAGTCATTGTGTCTTAGAGAATTCCGCAACATATAACATGCACTCCCTATGGAAGAAACAGGTAGCACAATGAGTTGAGCCACCCTTGATGCATTAGTCTCACCCTGACCAACTACATCAACTAAGCCACTGTATAAGTCGCTTCTTAACTCCGATGTTGACGAATATATTGCAATCGAGAGGATCCCATCATTGTATAGTCATCCACTCGAAATGGTTGAGATATAAGCACTTTGCTCGTAGTGTATATGATGCTCCATTTTACTCGAAATGTTTCGATATATGAAAAGAACTCTTTTTGGGTGACATGATTATTTCCTCGCTCTGTCTCATTGTTCACACAGCTCCACTAGTAAAAAATGGCTTGTAGTGACACTAAAAAGTGTCACTGAAAGATTTAATGACACTCTGAGAGTGTCACAAAAAAGCGGGGCAAATGACACTAAATTTAGTGTCACTGATTGTTAAACAGATTAGTGTCACAAAATTATGACAATAAAATATCACATAAAATTATGACGCTATAATATCATAACTTTTTTTGACACTCTGGCATCATAAACATATATGATACATTAGTATAATAAATGTGTGTGTGTGTGTATGGAGTTCAACTTATAGACTAAATATGGGAACTGTTAACCAATAAATCATAACTTATAGACCCCTCCAAAAGACCCCTCGAAAATAATTACGAAAACGCCATCGCAAAAAAATAATTACGGAAAACTGGATTTTTTTTTGCGCGCTGGCATTTTCGAAATTATTATGGAGAGCTTTATAAGTTACTCGTATGATTTATTGATTATAAGTTTCTATATTTAGTCTATAAGTGTACTGCGTTGTAAGATCAGATGTAAATCCAAGGGCTAAGATTATTTTTCACTTCTCATTTTAAGGGGCACTTCTCACCTGACAATAATAGCCAATTGCTAGCAGTTGGATACTTGGATCATATGCAATTTATAGTCTCATTTAACAAAGCAAAACAATCAACTAACTTATCATATAGCAACTCAACAATATTCATAAATTGCACAATAAAAGATAGAGAAATTCTTTTCTAAGCTGGTCATTCTAAATATATGTCTAAATATTTTTATAACAAGAAGTCTTGCTACGTCAATGTTAATGCTGAAATAGACATGTTATACATTTTTCATTGTAGAAAGATGTCTAAATTCAATACTTATAGCCTATGATCTGAATATGTAATAATATCTGGTAGAAGAACAAATTGTGAATTATAAGGAAAAGAAACAAACGTATGCTAGATTCAAAACCATTCGATTAGCACATAGTGAATACTGTACTAGATGCAACCCAAATTTAAAGATTGCGCATGTATCATCTCGCTACTATGAGAATAGAGTAAATCTAGTTTTGATTACTCACTTATCAATTATCATTTCCTTTTTGCAACAAACAAATATTTATAAAAATTTACATCATTTAAATGCAAGTCATTTTCCAAAATTAAAGCCATGCACACATCAATTTTCTGCATTTGAAAAGAAAAAAGGCCAAAATTAGTTCAATTTAAAAGCAAACCCATTTGCAAAAAGAGGGTATATCTGGGATGATACGAAGGAAAAAAAAACACAACGTTGTTAGAACTTAGCAGTTAGGAAGGAAGCATCAACATATTTCAAGCATGTAGTGAAAAATACACCACTTCCAAAGTTAATTCAAATGCAAATAAAAAACGCTTCCAACAATGCTTACTAACAATATGTTACTCATAAAAATCAGTTCATACTTCATAGACATCACAAGGAAACAAATAAAGATACAGAGTGATGTCAACTTTTAAAGTATGAAAGTTCCAACAAATCAAAAACGTAAAAGTTCAAACATAATAAACATGAATTTAAGAAAACAAGACATTAAATTCAGAATCATTTAATTGATTGAAGTAATATGTGACAATTCCTTAGTGGGTGCTTATATTGATTATATGCATCAATACAACTCACATGATTACATTAACCTGATGTTTTAAAACCAGTTTATGCT